CCAGGCCCAGCAGGGCCGCCCTCACACCTGCCCCGCCCTGCCATGTCCCGCCCGGCCCCACCTGCACCGTGGCCTCTGTCACAGCCCACGCTGACGTGCTGAGCCTTCCCCCAGCCATTGTGATGTCACAGGCGCCAGTCGGGCACGGCTTTGTTGGTGCCCGCAGCCGGCGCTCAGAGCTGCTGGAGCCTCTCGGGGAGCAGCAGCACATCCCGCTCGGGGAGCGTTCGTTGCGCGCCTGGATCGCCGTCTTGGCAGCTGCAGGCCACGACCACTGCACAGGGCGACCTCGTCCGCCTTGTGCTTCATACCCTGTGCCCGTCCTTATTCTCACCCTTGTCCCCTTTGTCACCCTCACCCTAAACCTCACCCTTGTCCCATTCCTCACCCCCACTTGGCACCCGGCAGCCCGCCGGGGGCTTCTTGCCCTTCCTGCTGCTGGGAGCTGCAAGCAGGGCCATGCCGTGGCTTCTCAGCAAGAAGCGACGGCAGTCGCCATCCGGCAGCACCAGCGGGCAGCCCTGGGCTGCCACCAGCTCCAGCAGCACCTCCCAGCTCCGGGAGCAGGGGCTGGGCAGGCTGCACCGCGCGGCCGCCCGCGGCGACCTGGGCTGGCTGAGGCGCTGGCGCTGGTACGTCAAGGTAGTCGGCATCGACAGGCCAGACCAGGAGATGCGGTGAGTTCTGGGCCACGCTGATGGCACCCCTGGGCTGCTCCTGAGCCAAGCTGCAGTAGTCCTGGGCAGCCCTCTCTTAAGGACAAGGCTTGAAAAGTGACATTTGCCCTGTCAGCTGGGAGAGGGAACTCTTGAGCTTTTCACTGCTTGGAGCTGCCGGCCGGGCTCCAGCGCTGTTGGAAACGCCTGTTGCCCACCTGCCGCTTGGCCGTGGTCTCTCTGCAGGGCTGTTCTGCAGCTGCTCAGCCCTCACCTCTTCTCTTCTGCCCTCTGGCTCATCAGCACAGGCTGCAGCAGCAGCAGCAGCGAGCGGGAGGAGCAGAGTCCGGGCAGGGTCCCCAGGGTGCTGGGTAGAGACACAGCTTGGGCTCGTCCTTTGTCTGTCTGGGTTAAGAGCGTCTGTTTAATTTTTAGGACACCTCTGCATCTGGCTTCGGCCAATGGCCATGCAGATGTCGTTGGATATCTGCTAAGAAAGAACAGCCAGCCCAACCTCGCTGACAGCTTCAAGAGAACGGCCCTGATGAAGGTGTGTGGAATGCCTTGGGAGCTTGTCGGTGGGGCTTAGTGCTGGTGTGTTAAAGGGGAGGTGTCTGGCAGGATTCCTTGCAGGGCAGGGCCATAGAAACACGCCCATTGCAATGGGCACGGCACAGGCCTCTGTGAGCTAATCTTTGAAGATGGTCTTCTATGGCAGCGTTCAGGAGCTGAGGGAGTTGTGACAGAGGGGGATGTAAAAGTTGGGAGTCATTTCCTTTTGGTGTGTTGTTCCCAGGCAGTCCAGCAGGAGCAGGAAGAATGTGTTGCTCTTCTGCTGGCACACGGTGCCGACCCCAACCTGGCAGACGCTGACGGCAACACTGCCCTTCACCTGGCTGTCCTCTCTAAAAACACAGCTGTGGCAGGGCTGTTACTGGAGCATCATGCCAAGAGTGATGCTCAGAACCAGGTAACCTTGGCATGTGGCTAAAGCTGCTCTTTCCAACAGCTGCACAGCTTGTCTGTGTCTTTCTAATGGGGATTCTTTCTCCTTTCAGTGGGGATTTACCCCCTTCAAACTTGCAGCCTTCCAACAGCATGAGGAGATGGAGTGCCTTCTGAAGAAAGCAGCTGACAGGCAGGCTCAAGCCCAGGGGGAAAGGTGAGGGCTTTGTCAAAACAGCCCACGGGTCTTCTGGGTAGTCTGCAAGTGTGACCCAGACGAGGGGTGTGGCAATGAGCTTGGAAAAGGAAGGAGCAGCCCCGTGGAAGCAGTTCCCTGTGGGACTGGTAAATGCAGGTCTGCACTTGGCTGCTCTCCTACCTTCGGGGCTCTCGTCCTTTGCCCGCTGAGGTCTGCAAGAAAGCCTTGTCTGTGGTGCCCTCTCCCCACACAGAGCCAGAGCCATGGGGAAACTTGCCAGTAGCTCAGCAGCGTGGCTGCTCTGCAGGCCAGGGAGCTTTAAGCCAAGGCAGAGTTGGTGCGTTAAGTGCTCTGAAGGGAAGCGTTGGGGGAAAGAGAAGCAGCACTGTCCCAGGGGACACGAGGGGCTCCGAGCGCACAGAAGGAGAAAACTTCCTGCCCTGGAGATGCTCAGGCGGTCGAAGGGCTCGCCCCGGGAGTTTGTGCAGCCGCATCTGTGGGGACTTGGAAGAGCAGTGCAAGGAGCCCTGAACAGCACGGCCTGACCTCGTAGCTGAGGCTGCTTTAGGGAGGCCCCTTCTAAGAGAAATTCTCCAATGCTTCCATGGACTTGGCTTTGCTTTCACGGAGCTTGTAGGAAAGGGGGGAAGAGCTCTTTTGGGAGCAAGCAGGGGAAAAATGAGGCAGGATCAGACGTGTCTCAGATGAAATTTTGGATGCTTTAGGACTGTTCTTGTGGTTCCTGGAACCCATGAGGCTCACCTGGAGGAAGACAATCTGCGCTTGCAGGAGGAGCTGGACAGGGCTGACGCGGAGGTATGGAAAGCCTGTCCCCACAGGGATAAACCTGGGGGTGCCTGTTGCTTCCTCTCCATCATGGAAACAGACCAAACAGTATTCTGGGAGCCAGGATGACAGAGACCTAAGGAAGCAGCAGTTCCATCGGGCTTTGATCTGCCTCTGTCCCTCCGGCCCCCTGCCCCACAACCCGCCCTGCTGAGGCAGAGCTGCCTCTCCTTAGGGTTTCACCCCTTACCGCTCAGGGGGGCTGGGGCTCCTCTCTCTCTGCTACACTCGAGGTCTTCCTGCTTTAAGAAGACTCCCCACGCAGCCCTGGTGCCATTCTCCACTCCAGGGCAGGTCTGGGGAGCAGTTCACCTGGCTGCCTTTGCTGAAATGGTGCTCATCAGCTTGTCAGTGATGCCACCCTTCCTGGCCCCAGCACACTGAAGCAGAGCTGCCTCTCCTCAGGCATCCCCTGCTTCCTGCTCAGGGGCTGCTGGGCGCCTCTCTCTGCACTACAGTGCGGGTCTTTCCCACTTCAGAAAACTCCCCATGCTCCCCTGGTGCAATCCTGGGCTCCAGAGCACATGTGCCAGAGCACTTGGCCTCTGACACTTGCCAGACGCCTTCCTTTAGGGGGATGAACTATTTCCCTCATCTTTTCCTGGAGTAGCAAGCAAGGGAATACAAGAAGTGTCCCAGGTCACAAAACAGGTCGGAGGGGCAGTGTTGGTGCTCAGAACTGAGCTGTAGGAAAGCAGTGGAGGGATGGGAGAGGCTGCTGTAAAAGAGGACAAAGGCATCCAGCTTGTGTTCATTGGGGAGGAGAAGTGAAGCTTTGAAGGGACTTGAATGGATTGCAGTTCTTTGGGCAGAGGGGATGCACACAGACATGCAGCCCCTGAGTTCCTCAGAAGCAGCTGGCTCCTCTCTGGAAAAGCTCCCCTGACAACTGTGCATTCTTCCCGTGATTTTACAGCTGCGGGAGGAGGAAGAAAAGCATCTTCAGTCCGAGCATTGTGTTGGTGACTTGAAGACTGCTTTGGATGGCAAGGGAAGAGAAGGAAGAACTTCTTCCCAGAAAATGCAGGACCTCCCGTTGGCATCTTCCGAGACTAATCCAACTGTAAAACAACTGGAAGAAGACGCGCAACAGTAAGAGAGTAACCCAGTGAAGCGAGGGGTCTGTGGCTTTGGGGCATTGGGTGGAAACAAGGGGAGAGTCAGTGGGGTTTTGAAGGACACTTCTGCTGTGGATTCAGTTCCTTAGCACAGTTTGTCTGGCATTGGATTTTCTGGCAATAAGACCTGTATTTCTTCTTAAGCTCTGCAAGTGGAAAGAGCAGATTGGAAGCCACTGTCCAGCAGCCAAGCGATAGCGCTGAAGCCCTTCCGAGAGACCTGCAAGCCTCTGCCTCAGTAAGCTGGTCCTAAATTTCCCTTTCTGTGACTCTTGAGCCCAGTTGCCTATTTCTGTGGGGAAGCTGTAAGAGGAAGTTTCCCTGGAGAGCCCAGGGGAGCTCAGTTTCTGCCTTCTCCTCAGTAGAGGCTGCTCAGAAAGCAGCCTGCTCCTTTCCCCAGCTGCTACTAAAGCCCTGAGGGTATTTGCTGTGCTGGACACTAAAGGAATTCTTAGGTTCTAAATGAGGAGTTTCATCCTGAGCTCCAAGGGACCCGGAAGTATTGCTGCCAGAAGGGTCTCACAAATTCTTAAGTAGGTCTAAAGTTTCCTCTTTCTGTTGGGGAATCTTTCAAGTGTTTTCTATGTTCCTTTCCAGTAGATGATAAATACAGTTGCCATGGCCCCCCCCCCGAGAGGTTTTCCCAGAATTCACTGCCTTTAGATCATGATGAGTTTCCTTTTCTATTTTTTTTTCCTGTGTCCAGGGTGGTGAACTTTCCCAGCAGCTGGACATGGAGCCTGGAACAGCCATGCAGCCAGAGGCCCAAAACCAGGCTCTGCAAGAAGAGCTGTCCACTCTGCTTGGGAAATGTGAAAACCTGGAGAAGAGCAAATGTCAGCTGCAAGAAGAGGTGGCAAAACTCCATCATCGTTTGGAGGCTTTGGTGCTGGCTGGCAGCCAAACAGAACAGTGTGAAAGAGAGGTGGAAGAACGAGCTGACCAGGAAATAAGACCAAAGCTCCAAGACGTCAGCCTCGTTTTGCAAGTAAGTGAATTTGTCCCCAGTGTCCACAGGCACCACGTAAACTTCTCTTGTGGCCATGGTTTTGGGTCTTTTTCTTTTGCTCCTGTATTCTGTGTGTTAGCTTCTGTCTTTGCTGAAGGCAGTGGCAGAAGGCAATCTGGTTGGGCAGGAGGGCTGTCATGGGTTCTGCCTTGATTGCTGCTGGGAGTGAGGAGGCACAGCCGCCTCTCTGAGTAAGGCTGGGCCCTTGGAACTGGGTGTGTGCAATTTTCTGCTGGGCAGAGCTCTCTTTTTCTTGTGGGGGTTGAAGGTGCACTGTCTCCTTCAGGCACAGGCAGCCCACCAGGACACATCAGGTCAAATCGGAGGCAGTAACTGTGATTCCATGAGAATCCAGTTGGAAGAAAGGATTAGAGATCTGGAAAGCGAATTGGACAGGGTCAAAAAAAACCAACAAGAGAGTGCTTCTTGGAAAGAAGCAACACGGGGAGAAATGCAAATGTACAAAGAGCTGTATCTGGAGGAAGTTAAAACCAGAAGATGCCTCGCCAAGAATTTGGAAAAGTAAGTCCATGCTTTTTGGGAGTGGGAATAAGAGACTCCTTTTTCTTCCTGCATTTTCCTTGGAAATCCATCTTCTCCATCTGGCCAGCATGATTGCCCTCCATTGGCCAACAGGGTCTGATGGAGTTGCCAAGACACTCTCCTTGATATTGGAAAAGTCGTGGCAGTCGGGTGAAGTCCCAGGTGAGGGGAAAAAGGGAAACCCACTGTCCCCATCTTTGAAAGGGGTAGAAAGGAGGGCCCTGGGAACTGCCAACCTGTCAGCCTCCCCTCTGTGCCTGGGAAGGTCAGGGAAAAGATCCTTCTGGAAGCTCTGTCAAGGCACGTGGATGACAGGGAGGTGATTCCAAGCACCAGCACAGCTTCCCCAAGGGCAAGTCCTGCTTGACCCACCTGGTGGCCTTCTAAGATGGAGTGACTGCATCAGTGGACAAGGGCTACCCATGTCATTTCCCTGTCATTCTGGAAAGCCTTTGACACAGTCCCCCACAACATCCTTCTCTCCAGACTGGAGAGAGACGGATTGGATGTGTGGACTGTTAGATGGATAAGAAATTGGGTGAACAGTCCCATGCAGAGGTAGTGATCAATGGCTCAGAGTCCTGAGGGCCATCAGTGCCGAGTGGTGTCCCTCAGGGCTCTGGATTGGGACCAGTGTTCTTTCATATCTTCACTAATGAAGGGAGCCTCCAAGAAGGATGAAGAGAGTGCATTGAAAAGAGCCTGTAGGGAGAGGACAAGGGGGAATGGCTTCAAAGGGAAAGAGAGTAGGTTTAGATTTGATAGTAGGAAGAAATTGGTTCCTGGGAGGGTGGTGAGGAACTGCAACAGGTTGCCCAGAGAAGCTGTGGCTGCCCCATGGCTGGAAGTGTTCAAGGCCAGGTTGGATGGGGTTCTGAACAAGCTGGTCTGGTGGAAGGTGTCCCTGCCCACAGCAGGAGGCTTGGAACTGGATGATCTTTAAGGTCCCTGCCAAGCCAAGCCATTCTAGGCTTGGATGCTGTCTGTGCTGTTTCTGTGAGACTGTGGGGGAAAGGCTGGTTCTTCCTGTGTTTCATGGTTTTCTTCACTAATTTGCTGTGCAGGGTGGAAAAGCTTCTGAAGATAGAGAGGAGGAAAGTCAGGGTTAGTGAAGAGAAAGAAAGCCAGTCCCAGCTGGAAGAAATGAAGACCAGATATTCTGAAAAGGTCAAGGAAGTTGAGAGATTACAAACAGAGGTGAGCTGTACTCTGGGTGGGGCTTTTTGGTTGTGGTGTTTTTTCAGAACCTGGGAGATGCTTTTCCTCTATTTCTTGTCATGTTGATGATTATTTTTCCCTTGGCTGCATTTTGGATGTGATGGGCTTTTCTTAATGCTCCTTCTGCTGTTGCAGTGGTAGATGACTCGAACTAATCCGGAGGTAGTTCTCCTTCTGGGGAAAGATGCAAATGTTGAGGGCAGAGCAGTAGGTGTAAGGGCTGCTGGAGGCCAGGCTGTCCTGCAGAGGAAGGGCAAGCCAGGAGTGGCAGCAGCCTGGCAGGGTGCGTGAGCTCCCGGGCCAGGGAGCCGTCCCACAGGCCCTGAGCAAGAAGAGCAGAACAGGTCTGCTGCCAGTAAGCGGGGTCAGCCAAGAGTGCAGATCCCCCGGCTGGGCCTTAGGGATGGGCAGGTCTGCCGTCCTGGCAGGACATCCCGTCCATGGGCTGAGAGCAGTGGGGCCCAGCTCAGGCCTGGCTGCAGCTTGAGGGAGGCTGTGACAGCGTCCTCTGGGTGTGAGAGATGAATTCCTGCCCTGGGAGAGAGGGGAGGAACTCCGCTGTCACTGGCAGGGCACGATCAGCCCCCGAGCCCTGTCTCAGGCACCAGCTGAGCAGGAGGCACTTGAGGCTTTGCTTTTCTGCACAGTGTTGTTGCTGCCCAGGGCACAATGAGGACAGGGGCCTCCCAGGGGAAAATCTGTCACTTATTGCTCACGGGGAGCTCTTTCAGCCCATCTTGTGGTGGGGAGCCAGAAGGGCTGTTCCCAGCAGTGCTTTTGAGGCTGCTCTGCCTGTGCAGCAGTGCCATGGAACCTCTCATCCCCTTCTCCGCTCGTCACTCGGATCCGTTGCTAAAGCGGCGTCTGTCAGAGTCACGCTTGGGTTTGGAGGCATCACTGTGGAATGGCTTCCTGCCTCTGCAGGGACTCCTTTGGAGTCCAGAAGCTTGGAGCATTTTTGCATGAGGAACTCCAAAAGGGTGGGAACCTGAGGAATCCCATGACAAATGATGTGAAAGCTGTTCTTGCTGGAAAAGAAGAGCCTGGTTGCACTTTGTTTCTAGTCCTGAGGCAGCAGATGATGAATAGAGTCTCCCTGGGCACCCCCTTTTGGGGTTTTCCCAGAATTCACTGCCTTTAATCCTGCTGATTTCCTTTTGTTTTCTTTCTGCCTGCAGGTTGCTGAACTTTCCCAGCAGCTGGACAGGGAGTCTAAACAGTGCACGCAGCTGGAAGCCAAAAACCAGGATCTGCAAGAAGAGCTGTCTGCCCTGCGTGGGAAGTGCGAGAACCTGGCGATGGACAAATGCCAGCTGCAAGAAGAGCTGGCAAAACTCCGGCACCATTTGGAGACCAACGTGGTGGATCGCAGCCAACTAGAACAGTGTAAAAGAGAGGTGGAAGAACAAGCCGAGCAGGAAATGAGACAAAAACTCCAAGAAGTCAATGAGTTTTTGCAAGTAAGTGAATTTGTCCCCAGTGTCCACAGGCACCACGTAAACTTCTCTTGTGGCCATGGTTTTGGGTCTTTTTCTTTTGCTCCTGTATTCTGTGTGTTAGCTTCTGTCTTTGCTGAAGGCAGTGGCAGAAGGCAATCTGGTTGGGCAGGAGGGCTGTCCTGGGTGTGGAATGTGCCGGCAGGGCCCTGAATCCAAAGGCTGCCCAAGGCAGATTCCCACTTGGCAGTGCTTGGGGGGGATCTCTGTGCGCTGCTCTGCTTCTCGCTGCTCATCCTTGAATGGCTTTGGCAACTTGCAGCTGTCATGGCCAGACCTACAGGTGCTGCTTTGTGCTTGCAGGGGGGGAAGGTGCTCAGAAAAGGAGTCCCTTAAATGACAGGGGTGGGGGTGAGGGGGTGGAGGTGGGGGATGCTCTTCTTGTCTTTGAAGAATCCTTTTCCATGGGCCCTGTCCTACAGACACAGTGTCTCTTCATTAGGAGCTTTGAAGAAGAGTGCTAATTTGGGCTTCTTTCCCATTGAAAAGAATTCTTTGCCCTGGTAGCTCCTGGCTTCTGCCTTGGTTGCTGCTGGGAGTGAGGAGGCACAGCCGCCTCTCTGAGTAAGGCTGGGCCCTTGGAACTGGGTCTGTGCAATTTTCTGCTGGGCAGAGCTCTCTTTTTCTTGTGGGGGTTGAAGGTGCACTGTCTCCTTCAGGCACAGGCAGCCTACCAGGACACACTGGAAGAAATCAGAACCACTCATTTGGACTCCCTGAAAAACCAGCTGGAAGACAGAATTAGAGATCTTGAACGTGCACTGGGAAGGAGAAGAAGCAACCACCCAGAAAGACCTTTTCCAAAAGAATCCACCCAGGCAGAAGTGGACAAGTACAAAGAGCTCTATCTGGTGGAAGCCAAAACCAGGAAAAGCCTCGCCAAGAAACTGGAAAGGTAAGTCCAGGCTTTTTTGGACTGGGAAGAACAGACTCCTTTTTCCTCCTGCATTTTCCTTCTAAAATCCCTTTTCTACATCTGGCCAGCATCATGTGGGAAAGCAGAACGTGACATATTTGTGAGGAAAGTCCCTTAAGACCCTTCCCTTCATCAGGCCTGTCTTCCTTTCTCTTTAGAGTTCCAGCAGTAACACCACAGCAGTGCCACCATGGCATTCTTGGTGTCTTTTCAAGTTGAGGTTGTTTTAGCAGGCAGTCTTTTTGCCAATCTCTCATCTCCTCATCCTGTGTGTGACAGAAAAGATGAATCTTGTGCCCTTTACTGTTTGAATAAGGACAGACCTCTCATAGAAGAGAGTTGGATTCTGTGAATCCAAACTATGAAGGCTCTTTCTTGGCTTCTGTTTTGGCAGCGGGTCTGAGGGTTGAGCTTTCCTTGAGAAGGCCAGGGTAGCCCAGAGTTCTTATGGAGGTGCCACTGGCTGCTCCTTGCACTTGGTGTGATTTCTCAGAAACAGGCCCTCTGAACAAGCTCAGATCAAAGGATGTGCTTGTTTTGGATGCTCTTCATGCCCTTGGCTTTCAGAAGTCGAGCAGTAGTCAAGGCCGTGGAGGGTAACTTTGCAAAAGCCTTCCTGCCAAAGATGACTCTGTGTGTGCTTGTGGATGTTTCAGAGCTAATGAGAGAC